GGCACTGAAATATGTCACAACGGGTGAGCTGCCCAAGGGGAATCTGCAGGCATTTATCCACGATATCCGGGTCAGTGTTCCCCTCATGTAGTTCTCTCTGGTCTACTGGAATTTGCTTCGAGCTGTAATTAGCAGTGAATTTTCAGCTATGTGATAAAGCACGAGTGGACGCATCGGTAAAGCTGAAGTTCCGGGACATCCGCGGAAGATGCTGTGTAGTAACGAGACGTATGATGCAATTCAAAGGCGCCAAGGTAAAATGACATCCTCTCGCGCATGCATACGCCGTCTTCCCCCACAATTTCTTGTTTGTCACTTCAGAAAACAAATTTGTTGGTTTGAAAAATAACTTTTGCTTTTTTCAAAATACGCCTTGACTTTTTGATTGGCGAGGAAAAGTTTTCAAAAAAAAAATTGTTTTTTTTATATTTTCTCTTATTTTTGTAAACGATGTTATGTTTGCTATAGAGCATCTGCACTCAGAAACATGAAATTTTGATCGTAGGAGACTGAACTTCGAGTATATGCAAAAAAAAAAAAAAAAACCAATTTGCAAATAAAAAAGCGACCCTGTTCCTTATTGCGCATTGAGCTATTTTACTCATTTTTGTCAAGCAGCTGCGGTAACCTGTTCAATATAGACAGTTTTAATGACGGTTTGAATATGACGCTAAACAGAAGAAAAAGGGCAACCCAAAGCATCGTTTTTTACTTGGCGTTTTTGGTTTGAAAAGTACAGGTAACAATTTTCAGGGGAAGCTGAGCAATAAATCTGAGGAGAGTACGATTGCTATTGAGAATGAGCATGGCGAATGGAAAAGCTTGTCGTCAAAAGTGATCGACTGCAAAAAAGAAGTATGCCGATCACTTTCGCTATAGCGCTGTTACAGTGAGCAAAAACTCGTATTGTCAAGAGTTTAGCCGTGTGTTTATGTATGTGCGTGTGTTCGGAAGCGAGTAAACTTTGTCACTGACTTTCAACTCAGCAACCAAGAAATCTGGGAGGCTGAAATTTTGGTGCAGTGTTCCCATCCCATGTGTCATCCTCCCTTTTTAAAATCTTTGCTCATACGGGTTTAGATATTGTGTACAGACCGCGGAAGAAAGGTGAAACTTTTGCAGGGATATTCTTTGTGCATTTATGAACTAGATATTTCAAATTCAGCTATCGTGCATGTTTGTACCGCGTGTACGATCACGTCAAAATTCGCAGTTAGCGCTGTACCAGCTCAAATATTTGTGGAGAAACAGTAGCTGAAATTTTTTCAAAATATTTTTTGGTTGTATGGAAAGACATACGCCTAAAACGAGTTCCGAATTGCACTTGCACCACGACTTACCGCGCTTCAAAGATTAGAGAAATAATGGATTTTATTCCGAACACAAAAGCAAGTGCTTTTTGTGGATCTCGTAAACCTTCCGTTTCGACATCCTGTGCATATTCGAATTTGCATTTTTTGATGAACGACTGCTCACTGGAAAAACGACCGGGCTTCACGCAGAAAATTGATAATCATGCGCATCGTAATTTCACGCTGCCTCGCAGTGCAATACTACCATCCCAACCTGTATGCGAGTGAACGCCAAAACACAGCTAACATGTGTTCACATGTTAAATTGTAACACAGAAAACAGCCACGTTGTTGCGGTCTGACCGTTAGTTTAGCGCAAAAACGCATTGATACATTCCACCCCAGCGTTCACTTTTACTGTTGTTTGCCACAAAAAAGGACGTTGGCCATTTTGCTCTTTTCTGACGGGAACTGTTACAGATATTGAATCTTCTCGGTTTACCTGCTGCGATATTGGACTATGTTGTGTTCTGTCATCAGGAGGAATCATCTTGGTTTGTTCTT